AATAAAACAGCTTTAAAATTTTTTTGAACATTGTTCGAGGTAAGACGATATTTTTGAGACGAAGTAGAGAGGTGTATTTTCTTCTCTTTTTTTAAAACAGTGTTGGGCCGCATTAAATACGTCCCACCTAGCACAAGGGACAAGTAGCGAATTTAGTATTATATCATTTGCGACAAGATAATCGCATTTGTCGTGTTTTAATTCACAATGGGCCTACCCTAATCATTCTTTGATTAAACTCGTTCCATCCCTTGGCCCTATTTCAATGCCCCCAAAATTTACTAAATTACAAAATAGGAAAACAAATATATATCATTAATCCATTATTATTTTTTTTGGTAAATCATTGCATTTTTTCCCACGGAGTATATTAAAAAGACAGGAACAAAGATAACACGGAGTCACGAAGTATATACTATCTTGGACACATAAAATTTCTGTGTTTGACTTTACAAAGTTTTGAAAGAAATGTTAAAAATAAAAAACATGTTTGAATTTGTTAAGAAAAGAAAATTTCTCACTCAAATATTTTTTTTCTTAAAAGAAAGTAAAGGTTTTTCTTGGACAAAAACAAAATGAAGTTTGTTGTGAGACAAAGTGAGTACTCTTTCTACATCAAAATAAGATAGCATGGTTGATTATTTATCTACTAGTTATGTACTCTTTCTTTCTTGCAAAAATATTTCATATTTTCTTTTTTGGACTTGCCAACAAAAGGAAAAAGCTAAAGTAGAAATAATGCATTGAAATATATCAAAATAAGAATTCTATATTCTTAAAAATAAGGGTTAAATGCATTTACATTACCATTTATGACTATGTACATTACCAAAAAGTATATTAAAATATCCATATATAGAAATGGAGTAAAATAATGAGCACGCTATTCAAATCAATTTAATTTTCTTTATACTGCGGTATTATGATTATTATGAAGGAAGAAAATGTCAATATCTACGTCATGACTTAAGTTCCGTTCGCTTCAACTTATTTTTGTTACTTATTGCTTATTCTTATCAGAATCAGATCAGATTAATGCAAATTAGATTAAATCATATTCATTGAGATCAGATCCATTCAGATCAGAAAATTACTTAAAAATAACTAATTTTAAAATAATTATATTAAAATTACAATAATAAGAATAGTAATTATTATCAGTAATAATAATAATAATAAGGAATAATAATAATTTATTATCTTCATGCTTAATAATAACAATAATTCTAATTAATAAAAATAATAACAAAAATTAGAATAATAATAATAATCATTATTATTAACTAGTCATAATAATATTAATAAGAATAATTAAAATAATAATAACAAAAAATAAATTTATTATCATTAATAATAATAATAATAGTTTTTTTATCATCCTACTTAATAATAATGATTGAAATGGTAATAATCATTTTTATTATTAACTAATAGTAATAAATATTGATAATAACAATTAATAATAATATTTACTTGTAAATAGAATAATAACAATATTTAGTGTTAATAATAATAATAGACTTTAACAATAACAATTATTCTAATTATAATTATACTTAATAATGATAATAATAATCATCATTAATGATAACACGTAATAATAATTTATTATAATAATAATCGTAATTATTAAAACCAAAATGATAATAATTATAATACTAATTAATAATTGCAATTATAATTATTATTCATAAAATTATTATTGTAAATATTATTAATAATAATAATTAATTATTATTATTATTATAAATTTTATTTTTATTATTACTCAAATTAATTGAATTTGAGTCAACTACATTCAAATTAATACAGATCAGATCAGATCCATTCACGTCAAATGAGATTCGATTCTTTAGATTAGACCAGACTTAAAAACTTTAGTTCAAAGGAGATCCAATCTGTCGAAGAGAATGCAACTTTGGATTAGTTTGGACCTCATCATTCATCACGATAGACACCATTAGGTTACCGCCTTAGTGAACATTTTGGGCCTGAGACTGAAAAATAGAACAGCTTCGAGCGTTTTAGATTTGAGCTTTTAGGCCTAAACCTCATGAGAACATTTTATTAGTCTCAAACATAATTTTAAGAACCGAGCCGATGACTGAATCGGTCTAGGTACTGATTCATTGGTTCGCTAGTCAAACCAGTGGTTCAGGTGTATATGTGTTTGTGTGTGTGTATGTATATATATGTGTGTGTGTGTCTATATATATATATATGTGTGTGTGTGTGTGTGTGTCTATATATATATATATATATATATGTTGACTGAAAGAGATGCATCTCACTTGGGAGGTATGTAGAGGAAGACTAGAGTTAGATGCAGCTAGTACATGCCCTATTTCCATAAGACAAGAAGGCACATATATTTTAAGAATAACAACTTTTATCATACCATGTTGGGAACTCACATGGGGTTTCTCTTGACCGGACCACCTTTATTTTCATTTTTCATTTTTAAAATATCACTATTTTAATTATATGCAAAAAAAATATCATTAAAAAACCAAAGGAATTGAATTCTTTTTTCTTTCTTTTCAATATTTTAAATTTGAGTTCAATGTCTCTAGATTTGTTGTAATTGTTTTAGATTTGCAGTTGAGATTTGGGTGAGGTGGGGAATTAAATGGCGTGTAATGAGCATGCATGATGCCCTAAACACAAACACTACCATCATTCTATGCTGCAAGGGGAGGCAACCTACTCCAATCTTGCATCACAATTTCTTAATTAGTTGGAGTGCCCTAATTAATTAGTATAGGGATATATGAATATAATCAATTAATTACAGAAGTACATTTTAAAATAAACGAATACTCCGTATATGAAAATTAATTACGGCATTATGAAAATTATTCCGTCCATATAATTATCTTTTTTGAACATTAATAAATCTATAACTCCATATAATAGGATTTACATAAGAGACTAGCGTTAACATTTTAAAAAAGATCATCAACAATTAGCGTCAGCATTTTCAAAGTTAATCTATACCGTTTATATTTTATCCAAAATGCTAATGTTAATAAAAAATGTTATTCCCTGACGGATTTAGTGTCTTTATATTCATAAAATCGCAATATATAAAACATGTATTGTTATTACCTCATTGGGGATCGAAGGCTATGACTTCTCATATGTGAGAGTCACTATTATGTCGATGTACCCATGGCACAAGTTCTTTGAGAATGCACAATTATTTATTCCCTCCGTCTCATAGACTCTTTCACTTTTAGTTTTTTTCCTCACAAAATCTTTCCCTTTTCCACTAAAAAATCATTTTTACCTCAATTAAATCTTAATATATTTATCACATCATACATTTTTACTAATAATATATCTACCACACCAATGATATTTTTGGAATGTCAACACCGAATTATCTATCTCTAAAATTTCCTAAAATCAAAACGGAAACATTCTTACGAGAGTACGAAGTTTTTGCCAGACATTAGATCAAGTGATGGAGTAGTCCAATCCATCTAAGAGACTTCAAAGTTGACTTTGGGATCCTAACTCCCGCGGTCCTACCTATAAACCTAATAAAAAAGAGTGCTTTTGGTACATTTTATTTATGTGAATCTTTTCATATAAAAAATACTTTTTTAATTACAAAAATATTTTCTTATTTAAATAATAAAGAAATTTTTATTTTTCTTATATGTAGGTTCATGGTGAACATTAAGTAATTTGCCAAAACAAATACCGTAACAATTGTATGTACGTATACCATAATAAACACTATATAAATATTGTTTCAAAATAAATTTTTAATTTGAGTTTTATTGTTTTATTTTAAATTGTGAGAATGTATACTTTTTCATAAATAATAAAGTAATCAGTACTTAATATATATTCGATCTGTTTAAATCTTTGTAGTCAAATGTTTTCAATTTCAACTCAAAATTAAATCAAATGAAAACATTCTTGAAGATATAAGTAATAAGTAGTTCTAAATTTTCTCTCTCTCCCTCTCTATGTAAACTCATAGTCTCAAATTCATTTACTCTATTCCAATAGCGCATAAAATCTTATCCTTTTAGAATGTTATTTTCTATAAATAAGTATATAAATAAAAGGTACAAGTTACAAATTTAAAAAATACATAAAAAAATTTACAAAATATAATGTAACAAATATATTTCATTTTACTAAATGACCAATGAAAGCACAAGAGTAATAAAATGAGAAAGCTCAAATAGTAAAAATCTAATTCATTTTGAGATGAATAAAATTTAAGGCGGTAAACATAATTTGTTTCCCCGAATCCAATAAAATGGAATAATGAAACGTAAGTGTAATAAAATAAAATAAAATGTAACAATAATTTGAGCAAGTGGCATATTTCAATTGAACCATCGGCACCGAACCAATCCAATCCAATAGATATATTAATGCAACAGGTCCATCTGCTGCGAGGCAAGTGTTCGGTCATTGCATAGATACTCCACTTTTAAATTATTTTTTAACGCCGACCAAACTGTTTTTTAAACTATATTTAAAAAAAATAACAGAAAGATTAATTGCTTTATGATGAGATTGCATAACTTACAAAAAATTAAAATTATACATTCGCAGCACTAAAAACAATATACATTTGCAAAATATATTTGAATTATGAATTAAATAAAGTCCCTAAATAATCTTTTCATTTAACTGAAATTATTTCTAAATCAATTTTATTTAAATATTAGTGTAAAATTATTAAAAAAATAAAATTTTTACTCGTATACTTTATTTAATTATTACTGAGTACATTTAAAATGCTTCGTTTTCAAATGTTATAATTCAGCGGCATAACTATGAATCTTTCAAATGGGAGGTCACATGTTCGATTTTGACTAGAATTGTGATATATACATACTATTCGAATAAGATTATTTTTTAGTGCTGAAAATACAGTAATTAGTGCTAAAAAGAGAAATTAAAAATGAGGAGTAATTAGTGCATGGCAATTCAATTACAACATGAAGTTCAATTCATACACACACATATATATATCGCTAATTAGTTTATGTGTGATCGCGTGGGAAAGATTTCGTACGTAATCAATAATTAATTGACAACAATGGCTAATTACGGAGTAATTAATTAATTTAGTTACTGTAAGCAAGAACCTTGTATAGCTCTCTCGACCTCGACTGTTCGGTCTGGTCGGTACGGTCTCCGACAGTAACTAAATTTTATTTAAGTCAACCGATAACGCACGTCACCGTCACTCGTGATGGGAAAATAATTCGCGGTCAACTGATTCGACGACGCCGGGAACCCCGTCTCCGCCGACGGCGATCCACTCCGGCCGCCGCAAGCGGCCCTCTCCAGCGACTGCACCTGCTTCTTCAGGAACTTGACGTAATGGATGGCCTCGTCGAGCATCGACGCCGTGTCCATCTTGGTCCCGCCGGGGACCAGCCGCTGCAGGATGCGAATCCTCTCGCTGATCCTCTCCCGCCGGTGGCGCGCCGCCACGCTCTGCGGGTCCGTCGATATCCTCACGTTCCTCCTCTTCGGCGGCTTCACCGCCTCCGGGTCGATGTGGATCGGCTGCATCGCCGCTATCCGGAATATCATCTCCCTCATCGCCGCCATGGACGTCGCCGTCCGCTTCGGCGCCGCCGCCGCCAAGTCTCCCACCTCCCACTCTTCGGGGGAGGAGGCGCCGCCGCCGCCGGAGAATGATATGGTGGAAGCGGCAGGGTGGTTGATATGATGATCGGCCATGAAGTGATGAGGAGTATTATGAGGGTTGAAATTCATCATCATCATCTGCATTTCGTCGGAGTCATCGTCCCCGTAAGGTGCGCCGCCACAGCCGCCGCCGGAGTACATTTTATCGGGGTGCATCATGAACATCATTTGGAGCTGGTCGTCGGTAGCTGACTTCAAGAGCTCGATATCCATATAATAACTAATGATAAGAATATATATATATAAATTGTGGAAACAACGAACTTTATAATTAATAAAAAAGTTATGAACAAATAAGAGAAGACTGCACGAAAGAGAGGTGCGGGAAAGGTGGAGAGAAAAGGATGGGTAAGTAATTAACAAGGGAGATGAGATATTTATATATGCATAGAAAAGCCTGCGTCCTATTTAGTTTTGAGCCATGGGGGGTGTGTGTGTGTGTGTGTATATATATATATATATATATATATATATATATATATATATATATATATATATGGTTCGTACAAGCATACCAACCAAGGCTTTGACTTGTGTAAATTTGGGAGGGACAATAGTGTTGCTTAGTAGCGTTATAGAGAATCGGTATACGTAAAATGTATAGACGTAAGTAGTCTAGAACGACTATGAAAATTCTGAAATACAAATATACTCCCTCCGTTCTGTGAAACATGTGACTTTTGCTTTTTAGAAGTAATTTAAGGGTAGTGTATTTTGGTATTGAATTTCCAAAACTGTCCTTTGATGTGATGGTTAAAGTATGATTTGATGGATAGATGATTAGTAAAAAGGTATGATGTGATAGGTAGGGTATGAAAAAGTAAAGGGTAAAAGTGACTTTTTAATAGAAATGAGAAATGTTTTATGGGACGGATAAAAAAAGAAAGAAGAAAGGTTTTATGGGACGGAGGGAGTATTTAATTGATAAGACGTAAGTAATCTAGCTACGAGGAATATGGAAGTTGTGAATTGTCCAAAATATACCTTGGGGCCTTATTTATAGGTAAAATTCCAAACAAACATAGTGGTTGATAAAGCAACACAACTTTCGAGCAACATTTGAATAATGTTTGTACTCAAAATTTGAATGCACTATGGCGGTTTATTATCATACATACACCACTTACTTCTGCGGTTTTAATTTGTGAAAATCCTTTAATTTCAATATATCGCGAAACATTTGAATATTTAAGCAGTCAAATCACATGTATCGGGCAGTTTTACAAAGGACGCTTGGGATAAACATTATATTCAAATGCATTGTTTTAAACATTCGAATGTACATAAATTTGAACTCCATGAGGAGATGTCGTTCCTTGGGCCATGCTACCGAGGGTGTTGCACCCGGTCTCCCACTATAAAATTTGTGATATTATTGAACGAGCGTTCACTCGGCACCTCTGAACCTGTCAACAACGTTTATTAAAATTTTTGACCTTTCTAAGTATGATTTCTAAAATCGATGTACCTAAATGTGATTTAAAAGATGAAAAAAGTAAATAAACAAGTTGGTTGGTTATGCTCTTTACGGGGAGATAGCCGAATTAAGAAAGCGTGGCTTTTGGTACCGAACCGTGGGATTATAAAAACAAGAACAAAAAAAAATAAAAAGAAATATTTGCACAAAATAGCACTAAAACTTAAGTCATTTTTCTAAATAGTACTTAAACTCTTTTTTCTTAAATAACACTTAATAATATTAATAATGTCAGGTGATTACAAACATTTACCTGAATGACTATTGAATAATGATTAAAAGTGTCACATTGAGAAAAAACACATTTGATGTCATTTAGTGAAAGTCATTATGTTTTAATGTTATTTAAGTAAAATTCTCAATAAAAAATCACTCTAAATAGGATTAAAACATAGAGAAAGTATCAAAATAGAAATTCTATATTTTATTTCTTATATAAGAGTTTGCACTGTGGTAATATGACACTGTCATTTACATTTTACGTAATGTACATGATCATAATTAGTAATGTAAATGTATTTTAATTTTTATTTTAAAAATAAAAATATAAAAATATTATTTTAATATGTTTTCAATATTTTACTTTTAGTTAGTTTTTTTCATGAATATAATAAGGGAAAGAGAAAAATGATGTTGGGGTGATGCATGCATGCCAGTTTATACGTGTCAGTACCTTTATTGTTGCTGGGCAGTCAATGTGTTAAAAAAACGACATATGACTTCGTAATCATCATAATACCCGCGGGGACTATTTAATACTCTATCCTCTCTAATTAATTTATTTATTTACATAAACTTTATCAAGATCAAAAAAATGTTGAGAAAATTTTTTACACTTGAAATTTTTGGTTAAATTTTACAACCATGAACTACGAAAAAAAGTTTAGTTCGTAGTATAATATACTCCCTCCGTTTGGAAAAAGTGTTCCTATTTTGACTTTGTGTAAAAATAAGGAAGTATTAAATTGTAGTTGACTTCCAATTTTGCCCTTGATGTGATAGGTAAAAGTAAGATGTGATGGATAGATTATTAGATATAAAGTATGATGTGATAGGTAAGGTATGAAAAAGTAAGGGTAAAAGTGGTTTTTTAATAGAAAGTGGAAGTGTTTTGTTGGAAGTTAAAAAAATGAAAGAGGAAGTGTTTTAAAAAACGGAGGGAGTAGTAAATTTTATAAAACTTTCATAATACTTATTTTTTAAAATTATATTTAATTATA